CTCATTAAGAAAGGTTCGGATTATTTTTTGGGGTTTCTGAAAAACTGGTTTTCTAGAAAACCAGGTCTCCGAAGGTCTAGCAGCAGAAATCATTGTTACATTCGGAATCAGCATAGTCGATAACCTATTCTCCACTAGATTTCAACAAAAAAGCGAGCGGACACTTGGGGCAGTTCCCTCGTTAGAGTATTCTCAAATCTGTCTGTCTTCTAGTATATAGCGAAGATAATCAACAACGTCATAATAAGCCGAAAAAAAGTGACTCAACTCAGTTTATCAAATTTATCGAGTCCGAGTTAGAGTACAAGTCATAGGAAAAAATGACACGGATCTGAGTCACTATTTGGACTCTCCCATCTCTGTTACCATTTGTGACTAGGAGAAGAAAAAGTATATAGAACATTTTCATGTGGTAAATGATTCTGCTTTCAGAGAGATCTCAGCAAAGATTTTAAATCTACCTTTTCTTAGAAAATGTATCAGAATAACGAAAGATTTCTGTTATTTTTTCCTATCGAAATTATTCAAAATATGGTCAAGACAATACATCTAAATATGCTGCTGACTAATTTTAAATAGCGTTCAACAAATACCACACAAGAACGTACTTATCAGACCAAGTAATGTAGTTTCTAATATGTTTTTTCTGTACATATTATCAATATGTAACGCAATGTATTCAACAAATACTTGTGTAATTTTGCTTGGATTTTCTAATTGCTTTACATCATCTTCACTTAGAATTGTTGCTAAAACACGATAAGCATTTACTTGTATTATGCTATTATTTACTTCTATTAATTTTAATAATATTGGTATAAAATCTTTTTCTTGTTTAATATATGTTAATAATGGTAGATCAACTGTAAAACTATACAAATAAATAATTGTATATAAAATAAAATTTTTCAAATATCCATTATCTTCGATATTTTCTATTGTAAATCCATTTAAAATAATATAAATATGATCAACTAATCTTAAATGTATATAACCATAGAGTTTTCTATTATCTCTAAATACAATATATTGCAAAATAGACATTAAACTTGACATACATCGAATGACAATATTTGTCCATGAAGATATTGTCGATGTAAATCTTTGGAATATATCCAAACAGTGACTAGGAAATAGAAAATTAGATATTGTCTCCGAAATATCTCCTTCTCGTGTACCATCGTAAGTAACAATATACAATGGACATGTTTCTAATAGAAAATCTTGTGCTATGGTTATCGATGTTGACTCTAACTCCAAATCTTTGAGTGCGTCAACGTAATAGTGTGAACAAATTAAATTTACTAGTGAATCTAATAGTGCTAATAATGTAGAATCATCTTGTAGTTGTTTTTGTTTTACCTGCAAATGATTCAATCCAATTATCATACAATTAAGAATCGATAGATTTGTATCAGATTTGTACTGTTCATCATTTGTAGCTAGACTATCAACACATAATATTATTGAATCGATCAATGTTTTATTGCAGAATAAAATTTTATATTCTTCTATATTTGTTTCACCAATAGCATTTAGAATATTATAAAAATGAGTATTAATCATTTGAAATATTACTGCTTCTTGTTCACTTAAATTATTCCATTTCGAAAACAATGTTGCTAATATATCTCGAAGTATGAAAAATAATTCATGATTTAACAGAGATGTATCAACATTATTTATAATAAGAAGAATTTCTTGTAGACTATTATAAAATAAATCTTCATTATTATCGTTTTCTTTTAATTTATTTAATTCTTGTACAATATCATCAAGCAAAAGTTTTAATTCAACATTTATGCTATATTGTTCTTGTATAGTTTTACAGTGTTGACTGATTATTGATAAACTCATCTTAAACAGCTACTATTCTAGTAAAACGTTGAAAGACACGTATAAACTGAAAACCAAAAAATATTTTTTCGATGTCAACGTAACCAAGATAAAAAAAAGAAATATTCAAGTTTAGCATATTCAAGTGTGATTCTGTTCTTTAAAGAAAGAAAAAGAGTGCAAAAATGTTTTTTTGCTGTGATAAGAATAATAAAACAAAAAATTTTTGTAATAAAATAACGGGTGATATAGAGTGAAGTGGAAAAGAAATTGTATTTAAAGTCATTGATAAATATGACTAAAGGCTTTTATTCGAAATTAAAATATTTAACTTTAAAGATTATTACATCTACATATCTAATTATACTGTTGATATACCACTAACATGTTGACATAAACGACATACTACATTTACAAAACAATAGAATGTAATTCAGAAATAATGGTAAGATCTTAAACAATACTCTCATACACTTTTACCCATTAGTGTCTTTACATATCTATTATCTTTTACATCATTTTGACAAGAATATATCATTATGTGATTTAACACAAGAACAAATACGGTATCAACTTCCTTGTAAAAATTTATTTAAAAAAATCGATTGTATTAAAACTAAACAGGATTTTGTATATGAATGAAAATTCTATTTCTTTCATAATCAAAAAGAAATGGAAGAAATTTAACAAATTTGACATTAATTATTTATAACACTCACATAATGTAAAGATCAAATGGATTCCTGTAGAGAAGAATTTTGGAGTTTTTGGAACCCTCTCCATGTTTTGAGTTTTTCTCCATGAAGGAAAGATCTGAGAAGGCTGGAGAGATGTTATTCGTGATTAGCTCGAGAAAATGAACCCAAATGTGTATAGTAAAGCCAAAATAAATTCAACTTAATCTTTGCATCACGTGCATCTTATAAAAATGTTACTCGATGTTACGCATGTGATTAATTTATTTTTCGTCAACTAAATAAACCATTGCAAAAAGGAAATATTGATTATCATCTTTTATTTCCAATTTATATCAACCATTGTAAGAATTATGTGTGCCCTCTTTCCAGACAAGTGTCTAATTATTTTCGTGAGGGTTTACATATATCTCACGTCAGATATATCTACATCTCTATTCGAATGTTAGAGGTCTTGTTTGTTTTGCAGAACTTGCAATAGAGTGGAACAGTTTGCCAGAGGAGGTAGTCTCTTGTCATACAGTAAATCAATTTAAAAGATTACTAAGATTATTTTTGAACACGTAAAAATATTACAGTTGTTTGTTTATTTTCATGTCATAGGCGTAGACCCATTTTCTTTGTTAGGCTCAACATATGATGATTTGTTTGTTTTTGTTTTTCTTTCAATTTTCTTTCTTTTTTCAACCCATACAATGGTGGTAGCCTTATAATTATAAGTTCTTGACTTTTACTACTATCCCTTCAGCCATGTGTTTTATCTTAACTTTTCTTCTGGGTTTCATGTGTTTGATGAAATAAATCTCAGTTCAGGTCATGAGGGAACCGCCGCTGTCTGCATTACTCTCGAACATGTTTAAATGAAAAAGCTTTTTTTACTCGTTCAATATATTTGGAGCCAGAAAACTAAAAAATATTGATATAAGGCAAGCGTCACTCATGGATATGGATATCATTATGGGTATGCTCTATTATAAAGTTAACAATATCTGGAAGTATTAGAATTTATAAATAAAATACTTAAATTATAGGCTGAAGACCATTCAACATTAATTACAATTTATAATAATAATTAACTGCACTAGGCAACATTAAAACAAATTATAAAAAATAAATTACAAATTTATTTTATAATTTAAATAAAAATTATAAAATAATTATAATTATAATTATAAGTTGTAATTTATTTTATTTAAAAATAAAATAAATTACAAATTATAAAATATATGAATTCTTTGTGAACGAAACGTGAGTATTAAAACGCATGTCAAGAAAAGGACACCATGATATTAGAACGACAAAATTCTCTTTGGATATATCCTATAGAATCAGGCACAAATCATGTTTGTCTTTTTTGCGGAAGAGAAGTGCATACAAGTAGTGCATTAAAGATAAAAATATGATTTTTGCGTTATTACAATTTTTTTCCCTACGCACACTGTGAAAAATAAAGTGTGTAAATGACACGTACAAAGTGGACGTCAAAGTCGATTCCCAGTAACCGTCATCAATACATGGTGTTAGTGTTTACATTACACACTAAGGAGTGACCGTCTGACTCTACACACTGAGACCAATGAAATAGTCTACTTGTCTAAACTATCTGTGCTGGATATGCCTCAGATTCATCAACTGATTGTTCAAATCTATCATATGGCGATGTTTTTCTTTTTACTTTTTTTCTTATTAAGAGCGCTATTAAACCAATGACAGTCTCAGAAATTCTTGAAAATTTTCTAAAGCGAAATAAGTGACGTGTCGCTAATTCAAAAATCAAGTGGACACGCTATTGAATTTTCAAACGCATATTCTGATTCGTCGGACGCTGCTGATCACGAATCTGACCTTATGTTTTCGATTTGATCGAGAGTTTTCATGTAGAAAACCTCAAAATACCGTGACGGCGGCAAAAACCTCGAAAAATCCTGATTATCTCCTGATCTTTTCAGTTTTTTTCAGACTAAATTAGTTCAAACTAGTTCATGAAGATTTCAATATTTTTTTCAAAAAAGAAAAAACCCAAACTCCCCATAGTATGTCTGATATAGTTAGAGGCGAAGTTTCTCTTAATTCACATTAATTTCGGGTACCGAAATTCATTTAGATTAATTTTCGATTTGAAATTAATCTTAGCAAGTGTTTTCTAAATCAATTCAAGAAATAAAAGGACTTTTCTGAAAAATCGATTTTTCGAGGTTTTTGCCGCCGTCGTAACTGTTACTTAAAATCATTGAAAATATCTTTTGCATTATTTTCTATAAGACGTATTGAAAAATTGTTAAATAAACTGAACTATAAATAAATAAAGATTACCTAGGATCATTTGCTAACCTGATTACTTAAAATCAAGTAAGCAAAGCAAGTAGGCAAGTTCTTGTAAAACAGCGGATGTCAAAAGTTGGAAAATCTCGATCTACATAGTGAACGTAAAACTCTGTTTTCCATCTTTCGCTTGGTAAGAAAGGCGCTTAACAAAGCATTTTTACTCAGTTAGGTGCAGCCACCCTTGCTCTTATGAGCACCTCACATTCCCGAAAAAACGTTTTCTCAAGTGTCCAGTTTGACTTTTATCTTGATCTACAAATTGTCTGTAAAACAATTTTCGCCATAGGCGAGCATAAACAAAACAAGCATGAAGTAACGGGGACCTACGTGCGAGTTCCACAGAGGGTACCTCTAATAGGTTCCTTTCTGATGGATTTTCATATGCTGGTGAGCGGTTTCCGAATAACTCAAGAACGAAAGGTAATAGAAACTTGTAGTTTTCGCGATTTGATAGCCAAGACGTTAAGCTATGTTTTTATAGCTAAAACAAAGTTGAAAGTATTTCCAAACGATTGATTTTCTAGGAGATCTGTAGAAAACCGTTTCGTGAACGATAAAGTAGAAATATACTGTTTTTTTTATGAGTAAATAGCTTAAAGTGTCCTCTTCAGAGTGGGAGCCAAGAGAGACTTTGATTTTGAGTGATTTGGACGTGGTAGCTGCTTTCTATGGGGCCCCAGGCATCGCAGGCAGTGGCTTCCAGTAACCTCGAAAGAGGAAGAATAAAATAAAGTACAATAAAATAAACGCTGCCATCAGATTTAGCATGATCAATTATGTACTCCTGAAGATTTAAGTATCTTCTCACTCCTCCCTCGCATTCTGTCATGTTGATCTTGGACGAATGAGTACGTGCGTTTCGAGAACGAGGCGTCATTTGTTTTTAAATTATTCATTTTATTCTCAACGTCTGGAGACACCGCAGAAAAATACACACTATCAAAGAGAGAAGAAAAACAGAACAAGAAGAGGAGGTGATGTTTGATATCAACAGTAATTGTCAATAAAACAAAGACAGGAAAGAGAAAATCTACTTCGTATTCATTTCAACGAAAAGGACATTTTGGAGTATGAAAGATTAATGTTTTATTAGCACCGTTCGCACTTTTTGCGAGATTCCGTTTTTGTCTTTCAGTGTACTTACTGTCTAAAGTAGAGTGACCAGCTTGGGTAAAAGTCGATTACTCTAGGTGATCTACTTTGAAGATTTATCAGCACCTATGATTTGAGGTGACGCTGATGCGCAAAACGTAAAAAGGTCATTGGCTGCGGCAAGTAGATTACTCAAAGACCAATTCAAAATTAATACTTTCACAGCATTTTGTAAAATGAATAGGGAGTGGACCGTTACCCGTTACCGTAACAAAGTGGGCATTCAGGCGGAAATTTGAGCAAAAATCGACAAGTGAGCTTTTAGAACAGTAGTAAATGTAGTCCTTGAAAAGCGCTATCGAATTGTATATAATGATCGATTAGTAATGAACTCCTTCGGTGAGTAAGTAACTTACGAACAATCACAAAAAACACCGTCAAATATGACACATCTGCAAAGATTCTTATTTCTATGTACAGACGTGCAATATTACCCTATCCAAAGCATATATTCGGAATCAGCACAATCTATTGCATCTCCTGATAATAGAAGGTACTCCTTTTGCATCTTGTACGAAACGAAAAAAGGTCTAGTAGTCTAGATTACTACGGTCCGACATGAGACAATCTCAGTACAGTAACAGCGCTAAAAAACACTAAGCCTGAACAGACCTTCTAATTACATGAAAATGTTCCTCAGTCTATCGTGTATTTATGATGATCTCGTCTTTTCTCGCCTTTTTTCTAAGTCGAGTTATTGATTTTACAAAAACCCATAGGGTTTTCGAGGTAATTCGCGTTTTTCTTCCCCATAAGAGCACTTTTTCCATAACATAAAGTCATATTCGGAATCACCGTGGAAAACTACGTCGAATGATGTATAGTTTGTTAGTTTTACAAATAAAACAT